ACATCACCTAGAGGCCACAATCTCCATATCAACAGAAAGGAAAACAAATGTGAAGAGGAGAGATTGAAGCTGGAGTCTTCGGGCAGATGCGAGGTACCTAGAGCAGGCGATGCAGCCTCATTTTCCTAAGGTAGAGCGGCAGCAAGCAGAACACGCACTTGCCTCCACGACCGGAGACGTCGTCACTCCTCCTACTATAGCGCCACGGCCTTGCATTGCCCCATCCCCTGTTATAGTGACCACCGTCTCAGGCCGCCTCACCAGCTGCACGCCTCAAGCCCCATGTCAGCCATCCCCTATGTGAAGTGCTGCTTTCTCACTATGTCACCGCTGCCTCTACTTGGTTAGGGTTTGAGAGGGGGAACGGGTTAGCACTTAGCAGGGGTGAAAGTGCCCCTCTCTCACAAGCTCCGCCTCGCCCCGCGTGTTGCCTCCACCATTGCCACTTGCCGCCGGGTTCAGGAGGCGATTAGGAAGACTGAGGGATGTGAGGAGATAGAGAGTGGACAGCGGATTTGGTTGAATAGATGTGGGTAGAAATGTCCTTTAACATTTTCTTGGACAATTTTATCTTTTCTTTAATTCACTTAATTTTGGCCCACTGTACATACCTCAAAACCAAGGGCAAACAGACTGATCAGTCTGAAAAGTAGTAAGGGCAAAATCATAGTCTAAAAAATAGGGGCAAAATCACAATCACAATTTAAAACAAGGGTAAGAATACAATTGTTCCTTTTCATTTTGGAAACTTTTGCTATTAAACATCTCGTCTTCGTGGTTTTAGCTTCTCGACACAACAAAAATCAGAGAGAAAAATAGTGTGCAAGGTCAAATATGTCCTTGGCTCCGCTTCCTCCCTCTTTCCCCTTTCTCTATTTAGGCTCTAGCCAGGTCAATGATCGTGCCAGCATTCAAGGGGCCAAGGCCCAAGCAGCCCCTCAAGTTCTACCAAATAATACGATATGTTACAAAACTTTAAAAATGCATAAAAAATCACATATTAATGTGGGAAAAAAAGCAGATAAGTACAACACTATGACATGTAGTACCACATAAAATTCAATGTACACATGGAGAAATAAAAAAGACAAATTCATGTTTCAAATAGTGCTCAAACAGTCTTTGTGCATGTGGTCACGCTCGATCGAATGTATACAAATGGAGCAATTGCAGTTCAGCTTTTGGTTGGATCTAGTTCTTTGCTGGAAATGGAAGACAAAAAAGGTGCAATACTACAGGTGGTCCGGGGCATTCTGTCCAGCTCATCGGTTGCTTCCTCCCTATTGTTCTCATAGAAGAAAGAGGCGCATATCATACTTGAATCCAATGCAGTACAGAAAGGTCATTAGGACACTCAAAGTGCATATGCACGAATCATCCTTTACTTTACGTGGTGGGTAATAAAAAGTGAAATGCATTATCGGTACTTAAGTTTGTAGGCTGGTATCAATTAGATCTCTAAACTTAAAAATTACATGTTTAGATACATAGACTTGGTTTAATATACCGCTTCTATTGCAATTGCCCTTTGACCACCAATGTGGCACTTCACGCAAGAAACACTTTCGCGCTCAGCCCCCTCCACATCACATCGCGTCGCATATACCTTCTTGTAGCTATAATGACACCCGAATCCACCCCCCCAAAAAAGAAATCCCCAAATCCTTCCTCCTCTCATTTTTCTCTTAATTTGTACGTTTAGAAAATGCATCCCCAATTAGCAACTACCATTGGTCTACGCTCCACGATGACCTTATCCTTACACAACAGACACTTGATCAATGGTACCTTCTTCCGACGACTACAAGATGAGGATGAGCTTAGAGAATCCACGAGGATGCTGAGCGTGGAAGCCACACTACGCCGCCTCCCGCCGCTAACCAGACCGCACCGCGCCACCGCTAACCTCGCCGCACTGCGCCGCTTCCTGCCGCTAATCTCGCCGCCTAGGCCGCCACAACCACTCCGCCTCTCGCCACTAACATCATTGTCGAAATCCTAGCCAATGTGGGGATATTTTGGGGGATTCGGGTTGGAATGCATTGGTTAGGGTAAGTTATGTGAGAAGTTATATGCAAAGAGGGCCGAGCGCAAAAGGGTTACCTGCGTGACACGCCACGTTAGTGGTTAAATGCAGTCAAATAACGATTGGACTAGGGGTAGTACATTAAACCAAGTTCACTAATATAAACGTGCAATTCTCAAGTTTGCGGAACTAAGTGACATCACCACACAAATTTTGGGACTAGCCACATTTCTTTCGATAATGTCCTATTATAAGATGTCCATTAAGTATTGAAAAAGTTTTGAAGACTATGTTAAAGTTTAGAACCAGAGCATATATTTTTTTAAAAAAAAATTCAGGAAGCTTAAAAAAAACCAGAGCATATATTTTCAGGAAGTATTTTTTTTCCTTTATTAGGCATTCATCATGCCTGAACGGCTTGTTTTTAAACAAATTAAGAATACTAGATAAAAATATTCATGATGGCTTTATAGTATGGAAAATGTTCGATTCAACCCACATGAGGCATGTTTTAAAGCAAATTAAGAAATACTAGATAAAAATATTCATGATGGCTTTATAGTATGGAAAATGTTCGATTCAACCCTCCATCTCACACCCATGTGGATGCCATCCCTTGTCCTAGCACACGTCTATGTAAGATTAGAGGCCTAGCCTCGTAAAGACGTTTTGATCACCATTAAACACACGTACATATACATGCACCACCTCACGGGATTAATACCTCCGTCTCATATTACTTGTTATTTTAGATTGTTTGGCATATGCTAAGATTTAGAGTAAAAGACTATAATATTCTTATCAAATAATGCATAGTCGATAATAGGAGGATGATTGAGGGTAGAATAGGAATAAATTTGAATGAGATATGATTGATCAAATAATGCATGGTTGATAATAGATTGTTTGGCATATGCTAAGGTTTGGAGTAAAAGACTATAATATTTTTATCAAATAATGCAAGATACGATAAGTAGTATTTTAGAATAACAACTATTGTGAGACAAAATTTAAATGGTAAAGAGACAACTAATTTAGGATAGAGGGAGTGCATAGCTATTATATATGAGCACCCATGACAATTGAACCCAAGCTGGGGAAGTTAAGGGCCGTATCAACTGATAATGAACTGTCACAGTTGGCTACTATTAAACTTGCCTATAAGAATAATTATATGTAGTGTTAACTTGTACTCACTTTGTTTAAAATATAACAGTCTAATACTAGATTGAACATAGCCTAGTACTCCCTCCGTTCGTAAATATAAAGGATTTTGACTTTTTGATTGCACCGTTTAACCATTCGTCTTATTCAAAAAAATTTGGAATTATTATTATTTTTATTTGTGACTTACATATTATCCAAAGTACTTTAAGCACAACTTTTCGTTTTTTATATTTGCACAAATTTTTTGAATAAGACGAGTGGTCAAACCGTTGCACGTGAATAGTGAAAATCCCTTATATTCATGGACGGAGGGAGTGTTATGAATCTTAACAAAATCTGTCTAGATTCGTAGTACTAGATTATGTCTAATCGAGTACTAAGTTGGTATTACCTTCATCTCAATATAAATGCAACTTAAAAAATTATGACATATCCTAAAGACTACGAATCTAGACAGCTGACTATCCAAATTTATAATCTTAGGATATATCATATTTGTAATAAGTTGTACTCATATTGGGATGGATGTAATATATTTTAGGAGGGAAAAGTGTAAGAATCGTCTTCCCCACGGTATCCCTTGATCAAAATACTTGGAGCTTGACCAGTTAACTCATCATCTCTTTCCTTCTGCATCCTTTTATATCACAACAAAATAGTACCGTGTGGCATTGCAGCATATACTATCATGTTTCATGAAAATGTCATTTGGGGTCTGTTCACTTTGATGCCAAAAAAAACCTTACTAAATTTTGGCGTTGCCAAAATTTTGGTAACTTACCAAAATTTTGGCAGAATTTCTTATATAGTTATCAAAATATAGCAGCAAACTAAATGTAGCCATTTTTTTTAACTTTATCAAAATTTGGTAAGATTGAAAATGGAATCAAAGTGAATAGTCCCTTGGATTGCAAAGTACAAGTGGGCTGGCGTGGAGTTGGGGGCCTTGCAAGTTGTGTATGTGAGCGGAGAGGGGATTAGGGATATGCATGTTTCGTAGTTGCAGCAGTTCGCAACAAACTTCAGATACAATGAGAGAGGAAGAAAAAGAAAAGGTCAACCGATTCTTACAAGTTACTCAATCCGTTCTAAAATATATAACTTTTAACTCTTAGAATTTATCCTAAAATATAACAACTTGTTCACCAACATTCTCTTCCCAACCAACCACAACATTCCACCATTCACTTTTCTCACATATCTTCACTACTCATTCAATCACAAGACTCCACCACTTACTTCTATCTACTTTCTTAATAATTATGTCCAATTCTAAAACTTCTTGTAGTCTGTGACGGAGGGAGTACCATTAAGAACAAAGTAGTACTAATTGGCAACATTAAACCCTTGAGATTCTCCTCTACGGATGAGCACGATTGCCGTCTCGAGTTTTCAAGACTTTTGATATCCTCATTAACTGCAGGATTCCTCTACGCACACGGACCCCTCTTGAGTCTTCTGACCAACGGCAAACGGGACGGGAGGCCGACAAACGCGACCAGAAAGTCATCAGAACCTCTGCTGACCGCGTGTGTGCAACTTGGCACTTGGCAAAGCCTGCATCTCTCCAGAAACGGGAGACGAATCCAACCGCAGAACGGAGCGGAGCCAGCCGGGGAAGTCCCGATTCCCGGTCCAATCACACGCGCGGCCGCCCGCCCCGCGCCCCGCTTCCTTCCGCTTTCGTTATGTCCACCTAACGTGCCCACGTCTCATCTACGATTAGCACACTGGATTATCTACGCCCATGTCCCCTTCCCCAAATATTGTAAATAAATATGGATCTATATATAATTCCCCATGATTAGTAGCAACTAGCAAGCGCGCGCCCAGATGCCGCCCACACCGGTTGCCTTTCCATGCCTTGCAGGTGCAGCTCCCTAATAGGTTCCTCGTCTTCAAAACCGATGTGAGATGTGAGATTAGATATATCGCACAAGATTATATATATATAAAAAAAAACAGAGGAGAGAATTGAACACCAGCATCGATCGGTGCAGCCGGCATGGTCACCAAGAATGTTCAGCAGCAGCAGCAGCATCGTGTAGATGTAGTGGTGCCTGTTCCTGCTATGGTGGTGGCAGCCATGGCGAGCCCCTGCCCCGCCAATAAGCTCCTCCGCGGCGCAATCCAGCTCGCCTTCGGGTTCGCGCTCGGCATCGCCGTCGCCATCTACCTCATTGGGTCAGCGACGCCTGCCGCCGTCCCCGGAGGATCATCCCTCGAGCTCTTCTTCCCTCTCCCGCCGCCGGCCGCCGCGTCGACGGCGAACCTGTCGGCGGTCCGGCAGAAGCAGCCGCCGACTCCATCGCCGGAGGCGGAGAAGACGACGACGGCGATCAAGTCCCAGTCGTGGCCGGCGGACGACGCTTCAGGCGGCAACAGCACCGCCGATCAGGCAGGCGGAGGATTCGTGGATATTAGCGACGAGGAGCTGATGAAGCTGGCGGCAGCGGCGCCGAGGGAGGTGAGGACGGGCGGCGGCGGCGGCCCGAGGCCGAAGGTGGCGTTCCTGTTCCTGACGAGGTGGGACCTTCCGATGGCGCCGCTGTGGGAGAAGTTCTTCGAGGGGCACCGCGGGCTCTACTCCGTCTACGTGCACACCGACCCGGCGTTCAACGGCTCCGACCCCGGCGAGGCCTCCGTCTTCTACCGCCGCACTATCCCCAGCAAGGTACGTCTACCTAACCATACACATTGCTTAATTATCATGTACATTCCAATATAATTACCTGATAATAAGCACCTGATTAACCAAACTACACCCATTGCTTTGCATATATATTCCACGTAATTACGCAAGTACTCCATCTCATTATTCTCATATCCACCTGATATTTACCAACTTAATTACTGCATTCATGCTACCAAAACTCGATAATTTTTGGGAACGAATTGTATATACGTCATCGTCGTCATCATTGTGGTCTTGATGATTACTGTAATTTTTTGTTCAATGTCTTCGATGCAAGATCTCGGCCAGGACCTCAGGCAATTCGTGCGTGCATTTTTCACGCATCAGCTACATGCATGTACGTAGGCCCTGCGAGTGAATTTAAAAAAGATTGTAGGTCCTGTGGAATGCCGAATGCGTGCGTGGGTGGCTTATTCATCGTGTGATGGATTCTCCAATCAATTAATGGAGCTCAATCCGGATATATATACACGAAAAGCATCCAACTGTAGTACTAGATCAAGCTAGGTGTCACAGCCGTCGCTGCCTGATTAGTTGTTTGACCAGTTAAGCATGCGTCTTGGCGAGGTAAAGGTCTAAAGCGATGTGTGCCAGTTGTTGATTGGCCTAAGCTGGAAGTTTCTTTAGTTTTTCCAGACAAGCGAAGGGCGGAAATTCCAAAACTGTATCCGAGTGCGATGCGTGTCCTAAGAAACTAGACAAGTGGTTTTGATCGTTTTCTTTGTTTGGACATACGACTAGTCTACTAGTACTGCCTTGAAAAAAAAAGGGACAATTATTAGCAATATTATTTTTCCAATAAAATACGTTGTTTCTGTGCATCCTGTTTGTCGTTGTCCCATACTCTCCAGCATTTCTCACGTGGAGTTCATTGGGCGGTTCGTAGATCCTGTTTGCATTGCCTCCTAGCTGTCATCGGCCGGGCGGCTAGTGGCGTCCTGTTCGTGCTGAGCACTTGCTAAATCTTGCAGCTAGCTGGGCCGCCGTGCTATGCTACTGCTATTTAGATTTAATAAAGATATATAATTCTTTCGTCGTCATGCATATACTACAAAAGAAGGAACCTTAATTACTTTGCCACCATAACGTACTTATTTTATTTCCGTTTAATTTGTTGTTCCATCGATACATTTGTTATATATGTATATGTACAATAATATACATAATATATATGTATATACAGGAAGTTAAATGGGGCGAGATAAGCATGGTGGAAGCCGAGCGGCGTCTCCTGGCGCACGCGCTGCTGGACCAGGCCAACGCCCGGTTCATCCTCCTGTCGGAGTCGCACGTCCCGCTCTTCGACTTCCCCACGGTCTACTCGTACCTCATCAACTCCACCACCAAGATATACCTCGAGTCCTACGACTTGCCAGGCGTGACGGGGCGCGGCCGGTACAAACGCAGCATGAGCCCCGTCGTCACTGCCGCACAGTGGCGCAAGGGCTCGCAGTGGTTCGAGGTGGACAGGGGCCTCGCCGCCGACGTCATCACCGACGATGTCTACTTCCCTGTGTTCGCGAGGCACTGCAGCCGTAATTGCTACGCCGACGAGCACTACCTGCCCACGTTCCTGGGCATCCGCCACCCGTCGCGCGTCACCAACCGGAGCGTGACGTGGGTCGACTGGTCCCACGGGGGCCCGCACCCGGCGAGGTTCACGAGGATGGAGGTCACGCCGGACTTCCTCCGGTGGCTTAGGGCCGGGGCCGGGACTACGTGCGACTACAATGGCGCCACCACGACGGTCTGCTTCCTGTTCGCGAGGAAGTTCCTGCCCAACTCGCTCACCAGGTTCCTCAGATTCGCTCCAAAGGTCATGGGCTTTGGATGATGATGTGCAGCGAACGTTTTAATATTTAGCTAGGATATACAACTTTTCACATTCTTTGGTTTGTTTTATTCGCCTATTCCACAGACCCAACGTATACATGTACGTAAATTTCATTTTCCTTTTCTTTCTTCCTGATTTCATTATGTAAAGACCAAATGAATGTAAAGAGCACAAGGAACTATATTTTTTATACTAACCACACATGGAATATAGAGTTTATTACACGCCCTCAATTACTAGGTCTGTCTAAAAAACCACTCGTCAAATATAAAACCGCATATTTTCTTACCACTGTAGAAGATGATCACGTCTCAACAGTACAATCATATGAATGACGTATCCTCGTCAATCATATGAATGACGTATACTGAAATGCTATCTTGGGGTGTCGTGAATACATGTACACTCCTCAACTTACAAAGACAGGTGATGTGGATCCAAAAGCCGAACCCTAAGGCCATGTTTAGATTCAAGGGTGAAAAGTTTTGGCGTGTCACATCGGATATACGGACACACATTTAAATATCAAACGTAGACTAATAACAAAACAAATTACAAATTCCGCCTGTAAACCACAAGATAAATTTATTAAGCCTAATTAATCTGTCATTAGCAAATGTTTATTGTAGCATCACATTATCAAATCATGGAGCAATTAGGCTTAAAAGATTCATCTCACAATTTACATGCAATCTGTGCAATTAGTTTTTTCTATATTTAATACTCTATGCATGTGTCCAAACATTCGATGTAACATGGTAAAAAGTTTTTGTGTGGGAATTAAAAAGGGCCTAACAGGAGAAACTAGGTTGTTAAACCCACCTATAACCTCAAAGAAAAATGTCGACAAACGGTAAGAAATTCAGCTAAAATCATGTAAACTTGGGGTGTTGTCCAACATTCCCGATCACCCGATGAAACTATATACGAAATAATCAAAGTATGAGGTAAGCAATTAATTTCTACGTGAGAACTCGCATTTTTTTATTGAAAAATACTAACTGCTACTGTACAAGACGAGCGTTGGTGATCCACCCCAACCCATCGGCCAAACATGGCACATAATTAAATTGAATATACACATATATATATATATATATATATATATATATATATATATATATATATATATATATATATATATATCTTTTATTTTGTTTTCTTGTCTTTTTTTATCCTTCTCTACGACTACTGGAGCTGCAGGAATGCTGAACCACTACTCTCTTAACCTTCTGGTCCACCTTTCTGTGCTTGCTCTCCTTGGTGGGGAGTGGTTCGTGAATGCCTCCAGAAACATCATGAGGACAAGCAACCTTGTGGGCACGAATGCAAGGCACAGAGCCATCACTACCAGCGCAAGTATAGCTCTATCAATGGCCTGTGAAATATGGCAACCAAAATAATGTAGGTAAGCGAAGGGACACGCACATTTGCAAGGTTAGAACAACATATTGGGGATATTGCTATAATATCTATAAATCGCAAGATAGCATTTGCTAGCAAATTTGGCAATGGCAAGATTTGCAATTGCCACAGCATAGCTTTTCATCATACTTTTTGAAACGTACCGTGTGCGCTAGAACGGCACAACACATCATTTGATCAAATAGTCACACATTTATTAAAGCTTTTATGTTTCTTTTTTTTCCTTTTGTCTTTGATTTAGAGGCATGGCTAGGAAAGAAACATCGCAGGTTGATGCATTTTTTAAGATTGTTTCAGGTGTCATTGAGACCCTGAAACAAAGGGTGCTATGTTTATCTTTTACAAACCACTAGATACTGATAGAACGGAAAAAAAACCCATAACATTTCCTATAATAAATAAAAGCATATCTCTATAAGTGAATGGTGAATCCCAAAAATCAACTAGGATGAGCCACATAATCAACAAAATAATAGCCATTGGATTTACATGAGGACAAAATAGAAAGAAGAAATATGAGCCATTGGATTCATTGGATTCACTTTGTCTAGAAGATTCCTTAACCTACTGAGAAAAAATAGTAAGGTTATGGATATAATTTTACAATGTACACTTTTAATTAAAAAAACCATTTTGCAAACATACCCTCTTACTCTATCTATGTAACTTCCCATTGGGAAAAAAATTACAAATAGATCATTGAAGTATATTTTGAAAGATCCAACAGTGAATTAAAGAGTAAAGTGAGGAAAAGGTAGTAATGTTGTGCATATAATTTTACAATTCTCACAGTTTACAAATAAACCTAATCTTTTAAGAAAGATTAATATAATCTGACTAAGCTTTATATCATTTGAAGTTATATATATTAGTGATGAGCATATATATGTGTGTGATACTAATGTAATAATCAGCTATGCACCCGTTTGTTATGAGTAATCATCATTGCAAATTTAAGCTTATTATTAATACCACAATCTATAGACGCATTTAGGCCCTGTTTATTTCCGCTTAAGATTATTGTAATCTAGATTATAGAATTAGATTACTATAAGCTAGATTATAATAAGTCGACATAGAATAAGCTGCTAGCTGTTTGTTTTTCTCTGGATTATTAGCTGTTTGTTAGTTGTTAGCCACCCAATAATCTAAAAAAAGCACCTTTAGAGTGGCTTACTAGATTATAGTAATCTGGCTTATAGATAGCAATAATCTATCATAATAAGCTATCTGTTTGTTTCAGCTTACTCTTAATAATCCAGATTATAATAATCCTAAGCTGAATCAAACAGGGCCTTAGAAGAGATAGAGTTTATAGTTGCGCAAATCCGCAACTTAATATACTACTCAAAGTCTGAGGAAGAACATGAGCAGCATCTTTGGTTAGTACTTGAGAAGCTGAAGGAGCACTAGCAGTATGCCAAGTTCAGCAAGTGTGACTTCTGGCTTGAGGAAGTCAAATTCGTCGGTCACATCATAAATGCTCAAGGAGTGGTAGTAGACATGACTAATGTGGAGTCAGTCACCAAGTGGACCCTACTGAATACAATCTCTCAGATCCAAAGTTTTCATGGACTCGCGGGTTATTACCGTTGGTTCGTTGAGAATTTCTCCAAGATTGCTAAGCCAATGATCCAACTATTGTTGAAAGATGAAAAATTCAAATGGTCAGTGAAATGCAATATGCTTAATAGTGGGCTGTTGGTTCATGGTTTTGATAGACGCACCCATGGAAATTAAGGACTAGTTCGTTGCAAATCCTGGGAGACTTACCATGCGTACAACAAGCCAACATGGGCAATGACTGGGCTTGTAGTATAGCTTTTCCCTTTCTGATGTACCTAGGTGAGGTTGGGTGCGATGGAGATTGGATGGACCGGGTGGCGGTATATGCGGCTTCCGGATTCACCTTGGCACAAGAGGGGGCTCCCTACCTTGGTTTTAAGGTTATGGTTGAAACCTGCAGTGTGGTGCTTTTGGTTAGAGGGAGTTATGCGAAGGATCCTGTCAGAGTTCCTTTCTGGTATGTCGTGGTGCCATGTCGGCGCACGGAAACATGTTGTGCGGTTGTGTCTTGTGGATACAGTTGTACACCTCTGGCTAGAGTAGAACTATTCGAATAGCCATGCTCGCGATTATGGGCGATAAACTAGCTTCACTGTGATTAGCCCCATCATTAATAATTTGAGTTAATGGAACTTGTGAAATTTAGGTGGATGGTTGGGCTTATCACAATGTGGTTTAGCGTTGGGCAAGAATGATTAATATTGCATAATTTACTTCAATAGTTTTTCTGCTTTCAACTACTGCTTTATAACTATTTTATGCAAAAGAACCCCTAGCCTCCTTGGAAATCCTTGCGTCATACCTCCTCTTGGTATGACTTGCTGAGTATAGGTGGGTACTACTCAGTCTTGCTCTACTCCCCCCACCCCCACCTCAGGGCTGGACTACTACTCGGAGGAGTAAGCTTCGCTGCTACCATCGAGGATGCATGTGGAGTGGAGTCGCCACGTTGCTAGCAACAGTTATCCTAAGTTTAACTAGCTTTACCTTTGTGCTGAATTTGTAAGACTTTTATAATGTTTGTAACACGTGGATCTGTATGTCAATTTTGTCGTTTGTCTAGCCGAGCTAATCCCGGCTAAGGCTTTAATGCACATTCTGCTTGGAATTCTGGTTCATAAATTTCTGGGCATGACAAGTTGGTATCAGAGCTGACCTTGAACGTAGGACAAGCCAAATGGAAACCCTAAGAGTCCTCTAAAACCTTTTCATCTTCATATGCTCTTTGCACGTGGATTTGTTTCGAGAAAATTTTGGATTTCGTTTCCTTGATTCATGGGAAAAATCTTGGTCGCTTATTCAAGTGGAGTTTCTCGACTAGAGTTAGTCTAGGGTATTAGTAACTTTTCGGTCAATTAATTCAGGGATTGTTGGTATTTCTTAACGACATTACTAGAAATATAATTCCCAGCAATGGCGTAGAAATACTTATGGTATATTATGGTTATAGAGTTCATCCGCAAGCGCACGGATATACCATTGTAGCATTTCACCCAAGAGTATTTCAACGGTATCGTATTTAGTTTATCCCGTGGGAAGATCATGTAGAGAGAACTTTGACTAATAATTTATATATTACTTGTGATAATCATATTCTAAGCAGGGGTTAAGATAATCCAAGGGTAGAGTGACACACAAGCATTAACTACTCATTCTCATAATAAATCATCTAAGCTAAGTGGAAACAAAAGAGGAAGAAAATCTATTCCTATACTTCTAATATACATAGTATACATACATTCTAGTTAACCAATATACTAGCTAATACCCTCTATCCGATGCCCTCCTGGTACTTCGAGAAGCCACCCCTGACTACCGAGTTCCTTACGACAACCCGTCATGGCTATACAACCGGGGCTAAATAGGGAGGAATACCCTCCCCAGGGAATTAACTTAGGATTTTATACCGGCGTGGAGGAATACCCGTACTGAGCTGTCACCATCAGCGGCCCACCTCTCATCCGTAATATATAACCCTAAATAATGATATCCCGTAATCTAGACACCACGCCTAAACTATCAGATACTACTCTAATATCATCGTCATGACATAGAGTAATTGCATAAGCAAACATCATACCCGCACCAAAGCATCTCCCAGATAAGTTAGCCGTATATTCAGTATAACATGAATATAATGTAAAGTAGGTACTCATATACTCGGAAAGTATTTCAATACCATAAAGCTTACAAAATAGAAGAGAAAAGCTACTAGAGCCATACCTGAACTCTTCCGAAGGCT